TTTAGTGATATACCATATTGTAAATTATTTAATATTTCAGTCACTTAAAAAGTTAATTTGCATTGAATAATTGCCTACCATTAAAGGAAATTTGAGCTATATAATCCTTGATGGGCATATTCCTGGGTATGCAAATACTTCCTTTAAAATTTTGGGTGTCGCTCAACCGATTTATTCTCAAAACCAGAAACATCTACATATAAAAAGAAGCACAGGTCACTAATTATAATAAATTTCACCCATGGTGTATTACTTCCACTAATTATAATAAACTTCACCCTTAGAATTACTTCTATCACAATTACAATACGTTCATTCATTGGCATTTTCTACTTTTCGATGTGAAACAATAAACTTCCCAACATTTTTAAATGATGTAACAATTCCTCTTGTGGTTACTTTTCCATAGATATCCTCAACTCTGTCCTCATGTGAATTCAGAGGCAATGAAATGATGTAACAATTCCTCTTATTAATTTACTTTTCCATAGATATCCTCAACTCTGTCCTCCATGTAGATTCAAGAGGCAATGAAAATGAAAATTATTTACCATAAACATCGCAAACTAAAAACCTAATAAACAATTTTATACCGAATATAGAAATAAATTTAGTATTCTTACCTATCGTCCAAATCCATGTTAATAGATAATTATTATTTTAAATATATTTTTGGAACTGCTGGTTTTTAGTAATTATTAAATTAAACGAACTAAAAGTCTTAAAATAAACAATTCTTAACCATAACCAGAGCCATAACCCCAAAAAAATGCAGATCTCCTGTCAACTTTCTTTTTTTTATTTATTCATTATTTTCCTGGTGACGTCACAGGTGGTATGCGCGAACTGAACGAAATTGGAGCCGCTATCGATCATACCTTGTATTCTTTGTACCATGATTTTGGCATACAGGTTGATTCTAGAGTGTAGAGGTTCGATAAGAAGGGATTTTTCGAAATTCCAGTTTCAAGAGGGTGAAACCACTCCTCAAATATTACAATATTTTTTATTTAAAAAACGGTAAAGTTTCCGAAAAAACGTTTAAAAAACGTATATTTTATTTTGTTTTTTTACATATTTTAAGATTTTTTAAAAATGTATACAAGGTGTTTCGAAAAATCTGGTCATTGATTAATCACGATCCTACTTAAAGCGCTTGGCGTAAAAAGCTGATTTTTGGAAAACAGATTGACTTTAGGGTGTAGAGGTTCGATAAGAAGGGATTTTTCGAAACTCGAGTTCTAAGGGGGTGAAACTATCCCTTAAATATTAAAATATTTTTTATTTAAAAACCGGTGAGTTTTTCGGAAAAACTCTTAAACACGTATATTTTATTTTGTTGTTTTATATATTTTAAGATTTTTTATAAATTTATACAGGGTGTTTCATAAAATATGACCATTGAGTAATCACGATTCTGCTTAAACTGCTTGACGTTTAAAGCTGATTTTTGGCAAACGGATTGACTGTGGGGTGTAGAGGTTCAATAAGGAGGGGTTTCTGGAATCTCAAATTCCAAGAGGGTGAAAACGCTCCTCAAATATTACAATATTTGTTATTTAAAAAACGCTTAGTCTTTCGGGAAAACGCTTGGACAAGCATAATTTATTTGGTTTTTTACATATTTTGAAATTTTTTAAAAAATCATACAGCGTGTTCCAAAAAGTTGGGTAATTTCTTAACCACGATTCTGCTTAAACTGCTTGACGTAAAAAGCTTATTTTTGGCAAACGGATTTTTCGAAAGTCAGATTCCAAATTCCAACGAGATGAAACTACCCCTCAAATATTACCAAGTTATACATATAATAATATCGCCATATATTTTTTTCTCATGCTGACGCTGTTTTTTTTTCGATCATATTGTACTTCAAATTGATGAAAATACGTATTTTGTATCGTATATCTGTATTTCAAACACTTGTATCTGAAATAAGTCACATCTCTGTTCATGCCAATTTAATGTTCTCTTTGAAGAAAAATATACACCCAATTGACGCATTATTATAACATAACAAGTATCGAAAAATAAATTTATTGCATGTATTTACCTTCTTGATTATTCAGCAGCATTAACTACTACTTCTAATATGAACTTCAATAAATTATACTCTGAAGTACTAATAATAATAAATAATAATATGGATATAAGATATTTATGACCTAGTCATATGCCTACTATATTATTATCAATTAAGCGAACAAAATTTTAATATTTAGCCCTTATTATTATCCCTTTTGTGATAAATAAAAATCTCCATTAAAAATTAAAACACATTTGTAAAAATACTTATTGTAATTTAAATTTTTAATATCAGTATGAAAACTATGTAAAAGAACTGAAGTTAATCTTTGGTATAAATAAGAATGGGATTATATATTGTCGGAATTAGCTAATAATATACAGGTGGGTGGTATTTAGTTAAACCAGGGATATTATAATTGTTAGAGTTATGAGCAATAAGATATCTTTGCGTATACGTCACAAATAGAATTGTATTTATAAGGAACTAATTTGGGGGTAATTGTCACTTTATTTTTTGGTGTTAAACAACCAAGAACTACTTGCTGAAGATGTTGCGAATTGTATTACTGACATTTGTCTTGGTTTCATGCGGTTACTGCAGTGTGCTGAGATGTGACTTGATAGTAAGTATATACCATAGTAAAATTAAATTTATTTTGTCCATAATCATACAATACAATTATTGTGTTAAAATAATTAATTTTTAATCTAGGAGCCTTGGAAAAATATATTTGATTGTCTAATGTTTTTCGTGGCCGGTTAAAGGATGCCCAAATCGTATTTTTAATCATAACTTTTTTTTCAAATGGAACGAGGATGGCTCATTAGCATATTTAGAAAAAAACATTTTTTTACAAATAATTTGGTACCACATGCATACTTGGTATTTCGACTCAAATTGTCGTTATATTTATGGCCTTGGCACTTAAGAATGAAATCTAAATACTATTTTTAAGCAAAATTGTCAAAAATTGACCTATGATACCTATATATATATATCACTGTATTCAGAATGTAATTTTTTATCAAATAAAGTAAAAATACTGAGGGTGCCATTTAAAAATCAATCAACAGCATTTCGAGTGGAACAGGAAGTGAACGAAATTAATTGAATACGCCAACCAATCCTGATTTATGTCATATACTATATATACATACTTATGTATACATACCAAATCTCGTTTTTTTAACTGAATAAATAAAAAAGTTATAGGAATTATAGGGTGAACCGGTTTTGAAAAACACCCTATATATCTACGTGTCTTTTTTTAAAGTACAGTGATAGAACTGATTACCAACAATAACGTTTAGACAAAAAAATGTTTTTCAAATATGTTAATAAGCCACTCTCGTTCCATTTGAAAAAATTGAGATATGATTAAAAATACTATTTGAGCATCTTTTAACCGGCCAGGATAAGACACTAAAAACATTAGACGATTAAATCTATTTTCCCAAGGTTCCTTAAAAATTAGTGTTTTTGGCCATGGCACTCTGGATTAAAATTTAAAATACAATTTTGTTTTAAGCAAAAATGTCAAAAGTTGACATATGATATGTCTTTCTATTCAGAGAGTCACTTTCTATCGAATAAAGTTAAAAATAATACCGAGGGTGCCATTTAAAAATCAAAAGTTGCAGTCATTTCCGTTGAAACAGGAAGTGACCGAAAACAATTGAATACGCCAATCAATGGTTAATATATGTCATATATTACTATAGGAAATATCGTTTTTTTTAACTGAAAAAATAAAAAAGATATAGGGGGTGAGCCACTTTTTAGACACACCCGATATACTACTATACGAATGTTCTGATATCAAAATTCATCAAATATTACAGTGGGTTTAAATCTATAAGAAAAAATAAGGGTATACATCAACGGTACACTGTCAACTTCCGGATTTGCCACCATATTGCAAATATTTTTCATTAGGGACACTCTGTATACTCGGTTCAACTAGGGACATTTTGTATTTTGTATACTGAGCAAACACAAATAATTAGTAATGAAAAATACGATTATTATAAAATATTTCGAATACAAAAAAGGTAATTTTCTATTGAACAGTTTTTAGTAGAGCTTTGGATGTGCGGAAAATGTACTCTAAAAATGATAAACTATGACATTATACCATACGATCGAAAAAAACGGCGTCAGCGATGGCTATGAAATGAAGATCGCTGTCATTTTATATGTAAAATTATATGGGGGGGGGGATCATCGATCGTCATTTCCAAGCCAACTGGACGCCGTTTTCATCATACGGCAGTATTCGGAATGGTAATAAATCTTCTGGGCGAAAAAACACAGCAAAGAAAAAAAAATATAACTTTAGTGTAAAAGTAATCACAATGTTAAATTAAATCACTCTGTATATCTACCAAACTGTTTTAAAATATGCCTTATTACCACCCTGTATATATTTTTTACTTTATTTTTAGGATCCACACAGTAAAGAAAACGAACTCTGTTGGAGACAGTTGCTTTACAAGATCTACTACCCTCAGATAAATAGCGATTCGTCGAAAGTGTCCTCAATACAACCACGAAACTCTGAAGCCAGTAATTACCTTATGGATTACCTAAGAAGTTCCAAAATGAGCGGTAAAAGGAATCCAGACATCATGAAGTACATCACTGATTATAGCCAAGCAAAAGAAACCAACTAAACCCATCAAAATATCAAAATAAAGTCATTTACCATTTCATAATTATCTTTTGTTATATTAAAAAATTACTAATAAGAACTTTAGCAAACGCGGTTGTGAGTTTTTAATGTTTTGTATATATTAATACCCTATAAACAAGGTTAATACTGTATTTATATTTATAGCCATTAAAGAATTTAAAGCCAATTCAAAAATATACGTTACCGCTTATTTGTGTATAGATTTCTGTAATTTACAGAGCATATACTCCACCTAGCGGCAATTAGGAACACCAAAGTACAATTTGTCATGAATCTTTTCTCTGATTGGCAGTATTGAATAACATAGCCTCTTCTAAAAATGGTAGCATTTGATTACATTATTTTGTGAATGTTTGTGAGATAAAAGGGTGTGTATGCAAGTGTGTTTCGTGTTTAAATAGTGAAATGTGATTGTGTTCCTTCTATAATTAGTGCAATAGGATCGTTATCTCCAGAGGTATTTATATAAATTTACTATCTTATCAAGTACTGTCACCCATTTATCTTATCAACTTTCTTTTGTATTCATTTATATTTAATTCTTAATAAGTACCTATTGTACGTAATAAAACAAGTACATTTGTGTAGTATTTGTATACACACATGAGCAAATGATAATAGACCTTATCATAATATAGTTAATTTATAATTTCATCTAGGTCAAGATCAAGAAAATTAAGCTTTTTAAACACAGAAACACTGCTCTTAAACGTAGATTTAAGTAAAACATCTCGAAAGTGTGTATTTCTTCAAAACATCCCTTTAAAGGGCCAGAGAGTAAACATTTGGCGACCTAATTATAGACTGTATCGCCCATTTTATAGAAATGTGTGGGTGTTGTATTCATATTGATTAAGAAACTTCATTTATATATTATAGTCATTTTACGTTCACTGGTTTGTTTACGCTGGGTGACTCAATTTTCGATGTGATTAAGATTTTACTACGCTTTTCATCTCTAAAAATATCTATATCCACCTTCAAAAATATCACTGAACAAATTTTACACATAAAAATATTAGTCAATGATTTTCAAAGGAAGTAGTATACTGATATGAGCTAATATTTATTTTGCATCAGTGTGTATTCAGCTGTACACAATTTAAATATTATAGTGGTTTAAATGTTATAAATTTAATAAAATTATATATCTTCTTTAATTTGTTTCCTTTTTTCTATCTAGGATTTAAACATGTATCCAATTCAGGTTGCTGTAGCTACCTACCTCTTCATATGCATTATCTCTAGTATAGTAGCCCAAGTGCCTCAAAGATTCACTGCCCAAAACCCGTGCACTTCCAAATCAACTTGCCAAGAATGTATTCAGACTCCTTCGTGTGCATGGTGCTATGATCCTGTAAGTTTTAACTCAATTCTGTCTAAATATTCATTCAAATTGACTAAAATCTTTTAGGAATTTAGTGGTAGTGCTCGATGTTTCCAACCGTCATTCCCTATAGCCCCCAAAGATCAGTGCAAGGAAGAGTTTGTGTTCAATCCTGATAACACAATGAGTGTTATTAGTAATTTAGAGCTTTCAAAATTATTAGAAGGCAGGCAGCAGTGGATACCATTGGGGGAGTCGGTTATGAGGTGGTTGGAATAATACAGGAGGTGGGGCTCTGTGCTATCCATAAAGTGGTAGGAGGTGGAGGTGCATTGGTGGTGGTGGACAGATCGTTCAAGTTGCGCCACAAAGATTGAAGTTACAGTTAAGAGCAAGTAAGTTATTTTCGAGGTTATTTTGCCTTTGGGTGGCAGAATCTCAAAGGAGAACGGTGGTTTGTCTTGAAGTAAAATTGTGTGATCATATTTTTAGTTAATTTAAAGCATTTTTTTTTTAAAATTATATAGTTTTTTAGATATTCATAAAGTTACACATCAAATTTGTGTTTTTTGTAATGGAACACACTATATATTAATTGATTTTCAGTTCTGGGAAAAAAATAAAGGTGAGTTTGATTAGAGAAACATATTACTAAAATGTAAAGTTTTTAACATAATTTAACATTTTCTAAAAGTGAAGAATAAATTTTAAATATTAATAAAAGCTATCTAAATTAGATTTACCTGGCCTAGCCTAATATGTAGTTAAAGTAACCATTGTACTTTAAATCAAATTAAACTTGATCCGCCCGTAAAGTTATACCGGGGTAGAGACAAAATTAATATTAAAGTGCGTTCACACCGGCTGCGCCGCACCGTCGTTTTTAAACATATACGTACTTTTGTGCTCGCTAAAAAAATACACTTCAAAAGTGCATGTCAAAAAAATGTTTTGCACGGCGCGGAGCAGCACAACCGAACGCACCTTTAGACATTGGTCACACTTTTAAAAGTATGTTACACTTTTATTTCCGACGGAACACCCAGTATATTATTCCGATATTTAATGGGTAATTCATGTCTTCAAAATACTATTAAGGTTGCCTACCCCTATTTTAATTTTATTGATATTTTTACATTATTTTTTTTTTTTTTTTTTTTTTTTTGATAAAATCTATGTGGCTGTGATATGTCTGACGTTACGACAACTTAGCTGTTAAATTAGTTCAACTTTAACAACTAGTTATCCTTCTGCGTCAGTTAAAACAATAAAAGCAATACGTAACCCAG